CACACTTGAGTTTATGTACATGTAGTACAAACTTAACCAGCACAACTTGTTTGCACAGCAAGCAGAGCAGATAAAACTATGATCTTCCCAACCGCTTCCTTCCGGGCAGAAACAAGAAGCCCTTTCACACACCTAATCATGGCAAGTTGAAAGCGAGTCACAACGACTTCTTTTGTTTCCACCCTTTTGAAAAGCGTTGCCTTTCTTTTACACCCATGTTTGTAGCTATTCCAGTAACCTCTTCACCTCCCCCAGCAACCTCTGTTGACACCTCATTTGTTTACACTGTTCCAATAACCCGTCACCACCCCCTCCTCTTCAGACTGCTTACACAACCCGATGGCTGGTAACAGTGCAGTCTTTCAACTACTTCTCACATAACCTCTCATTGATTTTTACCTTCCATTTACCCATTTCGTCTAAAGAGGATTTCTGCTCTGTTTCCGTATTGGTAACCCTGCCCCCCACTTCACCTGGCTCGACTCTAAACCTCGGTGCTTTGAACTTGCAGACTGGACTACTTGACTCTCTGGGGCCACAGAAACACAACCAAACAAATCTAAACAACGAAACACAAACACACCTACACAACCGGACACTGATGTACAATGACTACTGATCTTACTTACAACTTTTGTTAACGTTCTTGTTTGAAACACCCCTTACTGTTACGATTTCTCTGTTTCATAATTACTGTATTTTTCGTAACATGCTTGGAAACTGTCATATTTCTGTCCAATGTTTACTTAACAGTTCTTGTCTGACTTACCTTTTGAAAGTCAGCGATATCTAGATTAAATTTTAAAAGATTTTTTCCGGAGAATAAAAATAGCAGGTACACATCTATTACTGATAAGGCAAGGGGGGCTATACATAGTCTGGCTAAGTATATAGGCTGATAACTGTTTGCTAAAGGTACAGCTATTGTTAAACAGCTAAAAATATATTACAAAATGTGTACAAATGCAACTTTTTCTTCATTCAGCCTGCCATTACAACCTGTAAGCTATGATGACGTCAAAAAACATTTCCATTATTGTCCTCGGTGGTAGGGATCATAACTACATAAGCAGGTGAGCTACCACATTAGATATGTATGCTATTGTCGACTGTGCTACTTTTCTTTTGGGGACGGAAGTCATTTCCGTTCTGCCTGAAGCACAAACGTGACAAAGCAGCGGAAGTGACCACCAGGTGCCCTAGATTTTATTGTCTGATGGATTAAAAGTTTTCTTGACGAATACAATCAGCGGTGGTGGGTATAGTGATAATAATAAAGTTCTTGTAGTGAAGCTACAAAAGTATGACACAAAATGTGGCAAAAATTACAAATCACATGCGCATGCCACTCCAAAATGCGAGACTTGTTTTGGACCACAGGAAGAATGCTAGGAACGAAATTTTCTCCATGTGACCGCACAACATTGAGGGATTCCATGGTCCCTCGCCCACCTATGGAATCCTGGAAGCTCAAGAATGTGGAAAACTGGATTCAATCTTGTTATAGACATCTACTGGTGTAAGTCCAGGAACACATGGGATCAGGGATGATGGAAAATTACGCTGGACAGTCAACAGAATGTGATGACAGTTTCACCTTGAAATCCAAACACGATAACGTGGGAGGCTATGTCAGTTATAGGCCGCTAAGCTGGCAAGTCGCATGGCGGACAGAAATGGACTTAGCTAAATATTTGGGTCAGGTAGGTGGCCTATGACTCAGTCACCCTCGGACATGCATGACCAAAAAAGCCCAAACACTGTCTTCCCTGAGTGACTGTACAATGTGACTGAGTCATGCCCTCTGCTCTTTAGGGAATTCAGCTCTGCATAAACCCATAATATCTTTGACCCTAGCAGTTTTGGTGAGATTAAACCCTTTAATTTTAACCTGCTACAGTGGAATATTCTGTATAATCTTGTCCCAAAGAAGTTTCCATTCTGTACAGTTTGTCTTTGATCTCGTCTTTAACTTTCCTTGGAAATTAACCTGGGGCATCAAAATATTTTGATCACATGACTAGAGGCAGCCCATCCTTGTTCCCACAGCTTGCGTTGGAGCGCGGTGTTCCAGAAATATGTTAGCCTGGCTATCTTTCTAAATATAGTCATGCGCAGGTCATTGGGTTAAGAATGGATTTTTCATGCAGCGTTGTGACGCAGGTTGCACTGTCCCCATTCTTTCCAGTACTTGCCCAAATCTCCCCCAATCGCTAAACACAATTACCCACCTAAGCTGGTAATCAACTCAACAATCCCTACCTACGTCAGTCTGGCCCTGTCCACAAACTCAAGTGAATATACAACATTTTGTATTCAGGAATAAAAAGAACCCTTTTAAATCTTGTTTCCTGCTTTACGTACCACACAATTTCATTATCCAGCTATCTTGTCCGCAGGTACAGTGAACTAAACATACTATAATTTCCACATCTTTACAATAATATTGGTGAGAAAACGTAAAGTGCTTTAAAGAATGGTGATGATGCAAGACTTTTCAGCTATTACATGCTTTAGAAATCCCTTGCTAATGTACTTTGCACCTGAACCTGATGCAACTTGTCTTCTTGCAGTGCTTTCAAAATCAGAAACACGTGAGCTAAAGGTGTTACTACCACCAACATATCTATCACAATATGGATGTCACAATCGGCCACTACAGTAGTTTGATTAGCCTCCTTCAACGTCAAAGGATGTACTTGATCTTTGAACTTGCTTAAGGTATGATGCAATGTGGGGTAAGAGAAATACACTGCAATGCAAACTGTCAACATGGGATTTTAGAAAAACAAGACTCTTTAGCTGTTACAATTCAGATTGAGAACAAACATTTGATGAGAAATTTTTTTCTAAATTTTAAGCAAAAAAGAAGCAGAAGTGGATTAGTAAACTCTAGATCTTGACATCATTGTGATTCAAATACATTTATGGTTGGCAATGATCTTGACTTTGTAGGTGCCACAAAAAGTTGTTGTACCATGTCACTAACTGCAAGAAATGCACTGAATGCCCCAGGGACAGGATGGTCCTTCCTTCGCTTCAGTTCAGACAACTTGCTGCTGGAATGTGCTTCTTTTGTTGTACTGGCTTTATCTGGGAATAGTTCCTGTAATCCCTGCCCCTCCCCCTCCCCTACTTTACTTTCTACACATGGATGGACTTGCCACCCAAGAATTTGAACTATCAGACAGCAGTACTCTTGGACAACCACACTCAAAATTTCAAGCTGTAAAACATACCAAGATTTATGTAAGTCTGGAAGGAGGCTGAAATGTGACAGTTTATTGTACAGTCTTTAGTTTCAAGACTAATTTATAAGTATTACTAACGGAATAATTTAGAAGTATTACAACTTTGTATTTGTACATCAAGGTCAATGTTGTAAAATCAATCCACTTTACTGTTTCCGCTCAAAGACTTAATTTTACAATAACCCCCAGCGATTGTCTGGTTCGTACTGCTTGGCTAGACTGCTGGCATTTCGACTTTGATGGTCCAAATTTAGCTCTTGACTGCGAAAGCAAGGCGTGACAGTCACATGAGCTGATGGAAATATCCGGGCAAAGGTCTGGGGATATCTGCGGCGCCTGAAGGCAATGCGTCAAAGTGATCAGCTCAATTCTTCTATCACTGCAGACGCATTTGGCTGCCGTCCAATTCGGAAACGTCAGCCCCAACTGGGCCAACGTGATCGCATAATGGGGGCCCAGTGGGGCTGATGTCTGGCGTGTGTCTGCCCTTAAATTTATGCTCAACCTTAAAAAGAGTGGCCTCAATATCTTTGTAACAGTTTTGAGAAAACATGCGACAGCAATTATGAAGAAAATGCTTTGTAAAACGAGTCACATGATGGCACCTGCGTGTAATATCTACTAAACATTGCACTGCCTAGGGCACCCTATTGGTTGGGAGGGCCATATTCCTACTGAAAACCAATCACACAGGTGATGATCAATCATTTGTGATGTCACCAAATATTTGGTCATGTGACACGGGTGCGGCGGTCTCAGCCAATCAGGGCGCCGCAAAATGGTGCACTGGTCCCGCCCACCGGCTGTCAATCATTCCCAATGTTGTCATTAGGCGCGGTAGCACCAAATGTACACAGTGAGTAAGACATTTTACTACTACAACCAAAAAATCGACAAAATATTAAAACGCGGTGGAATTTCAGCGGGACATCAATGGAAAGTTTCTCCAATACATGTTTCAACAATGTCTGGGGAGAGAAAAAATCCTGCGATGGTTTCTTTGGCAGAAATTGGCAACAATTCGGCGCCGAGTAACATGCTTCCCAACAAAAGAAACGTTGTCACATGGTTCAAGATTTTGCGACCCGGTAAAATTCCGCCCTTGAAATCCGAGCGTTTCCGAAACAGAACCGAAGATCCCTTCCCAGTAACCAAACAAAACTTCCTGATTTGACGGAAATGTGGAAAATCAAGGAACAGATCGGGTCTGGGCAGGAAGCCGCCCGGCGCGGGAAGTGACAGATTGACTACAAAATGTAGCCGGCCCACGCGGCCGATTCATCAAATGGCCACCAGATTGTACCAGAATCGGTCACAAAATCTGCATTTTAATTTATAAAAATCAGATGATAATGACATTATGTATTCTGAACTAAGGCTTCCCTATTCTAGTGAGATAGCAGGGCTGAAGTCATCAGAAATTCCAGAGCGCACATTGAATAAATCATGTACTCTTGGGGATTTGTACACACAGAATGGAGACCGCGCCCTTAAGAATCATCGCCACGATCTCAACCAAAACAGGTGATTTTTTAACGAGACAAAGATGTGTCTTTCTTTGTTGTGACAGGAAACTGTGGCAAGTTCGTGGAATTTAGGAAACGGTCACGCGAGTTTCGGGGAAGGCATGATTGCCCCACATCCTTCGTCACATGCCGGTTCACAACACATGACCACCACCCCAAACATTGGCCAAATGACACACAAAATGCTGTTAATATTCACTAAAAATCACACAGCAGTACTCACGGCAGTCGGTCTCGTCAGAGTTGTCTCCACAGTCGTCATCTTCGTCGCATTTCCATGATGAGGGGATACACCGTCCGTTGTGGCATGTGAATTGGGATGATCCGCAGTGAGCTGGGGGAGGGGGGCAGGCATATTATTAGTACACGCGCGTACAAATCTCGTGATTTCCCCACACTTTCAGGGAAAGCGGACATTATTTGGATTCAGAATCCCAACCAGGAACTTCTCGATCTAAGTCGAAATGTCTTAGTTAGAACATTTCACAGGGCGATTCAATTAAGGAGTACAATAGGATCAAGAAATGCCGAGCAGCCCAAGGTGACATTTTTGAGCCACGGGGGGCACCGCCATGCCGGTTTCTTCCCCGCCGTACATGAAAATTTACGGAAAAATTCGTCATAAATACATCTAAGACGTTACAGACGTAAAAACTGTGACAACGTAAGGATCAACACAACAGGACATCTGTGAGTTAGTACTGGAAGAATAAGTTAATTTTCTGTCCCGTATTCCGCTTCAGTTCGGGTTGGCAGGCATCCCGGCGCTCGTGACCGGCGTGGCTGAATGTTTTAGTCGGACGTGATATCTTGTATGTCCCGACTAGAACGCCTCGAAGCCCTCACACTGAAAGCAAATCCTTCATAATTCTACTCCACAGAACCCGTGAAGGCTCTACAGAGCCTACACCTCGCGTTGGTGAACATCCTAGCCCCGTTTCTAGGGCAAATCCGGTTCGTGTGAGAGGCCACATTGTCACCACGCCGGCCATGATGGGAAGGCTTGCGCGCCCTCCGCCGTCCCCGCCCGGCCACTTTCCACTCACCGTCCGCTCTCGATCCAGGTATTCTCGACAACACCAACAGTCCACAGCACAGGGCTATCGCGAACAAGTCCCCTAGTCTCATCGCTGTTGTCCTCAGGAATAAAGGCAGGAAAATTCCTCTCTCTGTCGTGTGTAAAAACGTGCGTCTCTGGCGTTGCAGTTGTAGTAATGTCTGGCTGCTGGCGGGCCGCTGACGTTTTTGTTGTGGTGCCGGGATTGGCGGGAAACCGGGCAGCGGGCCGCCCTGAAACCGCCCACACACGCAGACTTAGTCACGCGCCTTCCCGCGGGAGGACCTGCATGGGGGTAAACAATGGAAATTTCCCCTCAATGTCACCCAGAAAAATGGGCAAATTTTCACTCTTGTGGGATGAAACGTTTCTGGATCCGTTTTAATCGAACCCCGGGGCTCTTTCAGTGTTCCATCGAAACAGAAATTCCATAGAGTTTGGACGATTCCGATGTTTTGGCTGAATTTCAAGTAAAAGAACGAATGACCCACAATGTGCACATCCGCCTACTCTCATAAGAAATTTCAAATATGTTCCCATCGCTTCTCTAACTTATGGTTACGTTGTAAGTATCTGCTAAACCTTTATTTATTCTATGTTGTATGTGTTTCAGGTTTGGTGAGGGAATCAGGACCAAAGAAAATGAATATGCGTGGGTGGCGGGAAAATTGCCTGGTCGGGAACCCCTTTGTGAGCCCGAACCTTTCGCGCGTCTTACGTACGTGGTAACGGCCTAAAATACCCGAGTCAGGTGATGGCGTAGACCGGTTGCAAGCGTAAAACTCTGTCATCGAGCCAAATACGTCAAGTAAGAAACAAATAGAGA